TATGATGATGATGATGTTGTTGTTGTTGCTGTTGATGATGATGATGTTGTTGTTGATAACGATGTTGTTGTTGATATTGATGATGATGTTGTTGTTGTTGATGATGACGATGTTGTTGATGACGATGTTGTTGTTGATGATGACGATGTTGTTGATGAAGATGATGTTGTTGTTGATGATGTTGTTGTTGTTGTTGTTGTTGTTGTACTCGAGTTAACCGTAGCGGTAGCAGTAGTAGTAACAAACATATTTTTATTCAATTTTAGACATTGTAGAGATGATGATGATGTCGCTTTTGTAGTTAATGATGACGATGACGACGAAAATGATGATGACGTTTTCACAGCTGCTGCTGCTACTACTACTGCTGCTTCTGCTGTTGTCGGCGCTGACAATGATGAAGCTTTAATGTTAAGTTTTATTGGATGTGACGACGACGAAGACGATGGTGGTAATGACGGTAACGATGATGATGATGATGACGTCAAAGATGATGATGATGATGATGATGATGATGATGATGATGATGATGGTGACGATGACAGTGATGTAAAGTTCGGAGTGATTCTCGTTACAGAAACAGCTGGAGATATTTGTTCATAATTGTTGTTGTTGTTGTTGTTGCTGCTGCTGTTGTTGTTGCTGTTGTAGTTGTTGATGTTGATGACGCAGTTGTTAATGTTGCTGTTGTTGTTGCTTATCTGTTTAACGATATCAGCATTGCAATTGTAGTTAATGTTATTGTTGTTGTTCACAATGCTTATGAAGTTGTTAATGTTGGCATTGTTGTTGTTGTTGTGAAATATATTGTTGTTGTTGTTGTTGTTGCTGCTGTTGAACTGAGACAACATGTCAGCAAAAGCGGGCATCATCTTACTTGGTGTTATGGTAAGACCTGAGTAGGCTGTTGTTGTTGATGTTATTGTTGATGTTGTTGATGTTGTTGTTGTTGTTGTTGTTGTTAATAACATCCAAAAACCAAACTTTTCAACAACAATATTAAATAAATCGTAAACATAGACAACAAACAAACAACAAGCATAAACATGAAAATATCTTACGGTATATTGCAGGCAACGGATGAGCGAAATTAAAGTTCGTTGGTGACGTAACGATGACGTCATAACTAGTCAGCTGACCGCTGGTCAGCTGTTTCCTCCACCTGGCTCTGCGATTGCTGAACCATACCTGAATGGATGGATGGATTGATGAATGAATGGATGGATGATTGATTGAGTGGATGAATGAATAGATGGATGGATAGATATAGGGATTGATAGACTGTCAGAGATCATTCATCAAACTTAGGAACGATCTTCAACTTTTATTCAATTTGTTTATTAGTGATGCAACTACACTGTCCACAATTTCAAAATTTACACGCACAAAATAATTAAAAGACTTGTTCAAATTATTGAAATCAAAATTTGAAAACATAAAAAGATAAACCGACAAATAAATACACAAACAGATGGAAAGTAAACCAAACAAACAAACAAACAAGCAAACAACCAAACAAACAAACAAACAACCAGCCAACCAAACAAACAAACAACCAAACAAACAACCAACCAACCAAACAAACAAATAACCAAACAACCAACCAAACAAACAAACAAACCACCAACATCCAACCAACCAACCAAACAAACCAACAAACAAATCACCAACATCCAACCAACCTGGATTCTAGCTTCGGTAAAACCGGTTTTGGCGGCTAAATCCTCCCTAGTGTAGACATCAGGGTAGTGCGTTCGCTCGAAGGATTTTTCGAGCAACTCCAGCTGGTCTGAGGTAAAAGTTGTTCGGTTTCGGCGCTGTTTTCTACTCAGTTTCATGACTGATATGTCATCGTCGTTATCGTCGTCACTGTGGTTGTTGCAGCTGTGGTTGTTGTGGCTGTAGTTGTCGCGGCTGTGGTTGTCGCGGCTGTGGTTGTTGTGGCTGTCGACATTTTCGTCGTCGTCAGAGTCGGGATTAATAGAGTTGTTAATTGACGTTGTTGTTTGGGTTGTTGTGAGATTTGAAGCTAAATGCTGTTGATGTTGTTGTTGTTGTTGATGTTGTTGGTGATGTTGTTGTTGTTGATGTTGTTGGTGGTGTTGAAATTTTTCAAGTTTAGATGCAGTATAACTACTGTTGTTGTTGTTGATGTTGGTGTTGTTGTTATTGCTGACGTCATCGTCGTCAACAACATTCAAATCTAAATTTTTTCGATAAATTTCAAAGGAATTTTTAATTTTTTTTTAATTTAATTTTTTTAATTTTTAAAGAATATTTTTATATAAAATAACGCATGCGAAGATGAAAAGAGAAAATGTGTGTGTAACTCTTTCTAATGTACCATATCATCATCATCATCATTCCATATCATCATCATCATCACCATCATCATCATCTTACCCATATCATCGTCATCTTCTTCTTCATCTTCGTTATCAGATTTGTCATTATCATCATCACTATCGTAATCGTAGCGATCGTAAATATTATTATTATTATCATTATAATTATTACTATTATTATTTATGTTATTATTATTATTACTATTAAATTTGTTGTTGTTGTTTTTCCTTTTTGGAGAATATTGGTCTTGTATTTTTTGACAACGATGTTGGCGCTGATCCTGGTAATGATGATTGAGAGAAGGAGGAAGAGGAAGAGGAGGAGGAGAATGAGTGACCGGATGTTGTTGATCGTTTGGCTGTTTGTTGTGTTGGGTTAAATTCTGTTTCCGGCACGTGACACTGTTGTTGTTGATGTTGATGTTTCTTTTGTTGTTGCAGATGTTGTTGTTGTTATTTTTGTTGTTGATGCTGTTGTTGTTGTTACGAACTTTCAGTTTGCATTCGTCGTCGTCTTCGTTGTTGTTGTCGTTGTTGTTGACCATCAGTTTGTTGCTTGATCTGAATAATGAAAACACGTTTGAAGCGCTTTTGATAATTTTAATTTAAAAAATGCCTTGAACAACACACACACACACAACACACACACACATATATACAAACATATATACACACGCATACTACACACATACAAACCTGTGTTTTCCAGCTCCAGCAGGTCCGGCTCCATTTGCAATTGAACCCGGTCTTATCGAGCCGGTTTCTTGGTACCGCTGCAAGATTTTACTGACGCAACCGTGGCTGACACGCAAACTGCGACTTATCACGCACGGTCGAACGCCCTGTTCGTGGCGACAACGACGATGATGAGGATGGTGGTGGTAGTGATAATGATGATAATTTGTGTTCCCTATGATGATGATAGTTATTTTAAATATAGCAACTAATCAGAACTTTTGATGAGGTCCTACTTAACTGTGGCAACCAATCAAAACTCAAGATGACGACCAACCTTATATTAGCAACCAGTTAAAAATGAATTGTGAAAACCGAGGGTTAAAAATGAAAAAGAATTATGGCAGCCAATCAGGAATGAGGAAAAATTCCAATCTAATTTTATCGATCAATGAAAATCAAGGACTACGTCAAATCTAAAAATAGCAACCAATCAACTTTGAAATTCTAACCTGAGAAGCGAGCTGTATGATTTTTAGTCGCACGTGATTGGGTAGCGGTCGACCGTTTATGAACACGCCCCCGAGTTGATTGACCCGACCCTGACCTTTAGAATAATAATAATAGTTATTATTATTATAGTTATTATTATTAATATAATAATTATTATTGTTGCAATAATACTGATGACGACGGAGATTTTAAGATATAGCAAAGTGATGATGAAGATGAAGAAGAAGATGATGGTGATGTGATGCTTCTTGCGGTTGTACGTCTTACTGGATGGATGTGGTTATGTGGGAAGAAAAAGGAATGTGAGTTTCAACAGCTAACAGACGAGCTTGTGTGCACGTAAGGCTTCCGATTACTACTTAACACTCCCAGATTCGGCTTAGCGTGTTACTTGGCTCGTCGATATAACTCACATCGTCATCTGTTTATAAGTGAACTGTCTGGCACGCTCTGTCTGGCATGCTAACACAATTTTTCAATATAAAAGAAGGTGATTTCAAGGCGTGGCAAATTGTTTGTTTGGCAAAAGACATCCAACTGATCTCTGGATGTGACCCTGTTTCTCGAGAGTGTCAGAAATTTAAAGGGCCGAAACACTCGTTTTACGAAAGCTCTTCCTCTAAAGACTCTCGTTGAACCCTCTTTATGTTCGAGTTTCTACATACACATATTTAACCATTTAGATATAATTTAGATGCCTATAAAGAGCAATGAGATCATCACCATCACCATCATGATTATTATTATTACTATTATTATCATCGTCATCATCATCACCATGGTGATCGATTGATCCAGCGTTCTTCGTAAGATAGCGTAGAAATGTGATTTCATAATAATCCTCACACAATAAATGAGCGTGCCTGAACGCAATGGTGATGATGACGATGACGACGATGATGATGATGACGATGATTATGATGATGATGATGATGATGATGATGAAGGTGATGATTGTGGCTATACTGATGATGATGATGATGATGTGACGATGATGATGTGACGATGATGATGTGACGATGATGATGTGACGATGATGATGATGTGACGATGATGATGATGGTGACATTTGAAAGCAAAAGTATGGTGTAAAGATTTTTTTTTCGATTCAATAAGACTGTGTTTGTTATGTTTTGCTATGCTTTTTATTATTATTATTATTACTAGTAGTAGTAGTAGTAGCATATTGTTTGAATACTTAGTCATTTTTGTGTTGTTTTGAATATGTTTTTTGTTGCTGTTAATGTTGTTGGTCAACCATTCAATCAACCATTGACTCCTAGTCATCATTTGGTTTTGACAAACAGAATCTGAAATTAACTCGACAAATTTTGTTCTGTTCAAATGTTTCCATGATATGACCAATTTATTCACTTTCACAGAGAAATTAGCTAACCAGCCAACCAACCAATCAATCAATCAATCTGACAGCTAGCCAACCAATATGCCAATTAGCTAAACCACCAACCAGCCAATCAATCAATCAATCAATCAATCAATCTGCCAGCTAGCCAACCAATCAATCAATCAATCTGCCAGCTAGCCAACCAATCTGTTAACTAGCTAAACCACCAACCAGCCAACCAACCAACCACAAAAATTCCAACTAACCATCCATAGTGTTATGGAACGCTCCAAAGTATCCACCAAAATTCATCGGACCAAGTCGTGGAAACATCATTGATTATTATTATTATTATTAATTATTTTTTACTATTATTATTATTATTAATTATTATAGTAATTATTTTTATATATTTAGTGGTAGTAGTAGTAGTATGAGAATTATTAATGCTAGTGGTTGTGGTGTTGAGTTTTATGACATTATTACATTATATTTAGTACTAGCTTTTGTTGGTGTCATGTTGCACCAATCGAAGTAGTAGTATAATAATAATAATTATTATTATTTATTAAAATATTTATTATTTATTATAATATTTATAATAATTATTATTTATATTATTATAATATTAAATAATCATAATAATAACAATAATAATCGAGATCTTAAT